CTCCTCTCTCTGACGCCTATCCTTGGGCTGCTCGCCCAGGACTCTCTGGCACTCCACCTACCCCAGAACAATCTCACCTTCCTGGGCAAAGCTGAGCTGTCCAACCTCAGCAGCCTGGAGGTACTGGATCTTTCCAAGAACCACTTTTCAACCGTGCAGCCAGGAGCTTTCCTAGGCCTGAACAGCCTGCGCCGCTTAAACCTGTCCACCAACTACCTCAGTAAACTCAATAGCGGCACAGTGACAGTCGAGGCCTTCAATGGAAGTCAGGGGAGTAACGGATTGAGCAAGGAGGTTTTCAAGGGGCTGTGGCGGCTGCAGGAACTCGATCTGTCCTCCAACGGCCTCCTGTGGCTGCCCAAGGGCCTGCTGGATGGGCTTCAGAGACTCACCTGGCTGTCTCTGGCCAGCAACCGGCTTGTCACCCTGGACAGAGTCACATTTGAACCCCTGGTGGGGCTACAGCACCTCCTGCTGGTAGGAAACCCTTGGAAATGCGATTGCAAGCTGAGAGACTTCAAGCACTGGATGGAGTGGTTGATTTACAGGGGTGAGCAGGGCTATTAGCAGGCCTCTCCATATCTCAAATACTTTAAGACTGTACCGGAGCGAGTCTGGGCTGTATAATCTAAGCAATTAATCTCCGCTCTGCAGGATGGATGTATGCTGAGCACAGACATCTAAGAGTACAATGACCTCTATATCTTTCAATCCTTCCCTGTCTCTCCTGGTTCCCTTCTTTCTCCCTTCCTCCTTCTCTCCCCTTGTTTTTGTGTCCCCTCTCCATCTGTTTTATAGATGGGCAGGTAGATGTGATGCAGTGCAGCCTCCCGGAGGATTTGAAGGGCAGGGACATCCGCAGCGTGCCAGCAGAGATGTTCAGCTACTGCCTCCAGACATCAACCAAGGAAGGCGCCACTCGGCCTCTGTGCCCGCCCGGCCGGGTCGGAGGCGCCGACGATTGCATCCGTCAGCGCTACAGACCCGTGAGCGTCCGCCGGGCGCAGGGCACGCAGGTAGTTGCGGCCGTTGTGTGCGGCACAGTGTGCGTCATGATGGTGGTGGCAGCGACTTACGGGTGCGTCTACGCCTCGCTGGTAGCACGCTACCAGAAAGAGATGAAGAGCCGCGGGCAGCCCCTGATGGCCGAGTCTGGAGCCGACACCGACCTGGAGGACGGGCAGACGTCATCCCCGACCTCACTGGAGGAAACGCCGCCCAAAGAGGCCTGCGGCTTCGTGCACAGTTATCGAATCAGCAGTTTCTAACACGCTGATTTCTGCCTCTGTACTTCAGCTCTCATCGCTGATGAGACGAGGTCTGCAGAGAGAAAGCCCGCAGCTCACTGGGCGAAAACTCTCCGGGTGGGGACTGATTGTGCAGCTTAATGGAGCGGACTAAATCCAGTGAAGCTGTGATTCTGCAGTACTTCTTTTAATGTATGGATGCTCTGTGAATTGTTATTCCCTGCGCTGCATCCCTCAGCCAGCTTTGAAACTTCTCTCGAGCTGCTGTTTGGCACTTCCGCACCTTGACTTTCCCTTCATGTGT